CCTTTTCTGTAGAACTGTGTCGCAAATATGTTTTCTTTTACATAACGAGAGGAAACCAAAAAGTGGCCACTCCGTATTCTCTTTAATTCAGCTTCTTAGGTACTGTGACCCCGAAGTTATAGGTCAGATTACTGGTTGAGTGCTGATGATAATGAGATGAAGCCAGAGGTGCAATACTCTTGTGATGGACAAAAATTCTTCAGTTAGGGTTTAATGTAAAAACGTGTATCTCTCATGATTCATAAACCACTCCACCTGACCAAATCGATGATCTTCTCTCGGGGCAATATCTTAATTTTGGGGTTCAGCGATACTTCAATTGAAATGATTACCCTACCTTATAGAAGTATTATCCTATCATATTGTGATACTGATACCGGTTCTCAGTTTCTTTACCTCTTAGGTAGCCTAGCTAAATAATCTGTTGTTGTGGAACACTCAGTTTAAACCATGTGAAAGAGGGATGTTGATCGACTTAATCAAGGGCCGAGAGAAGACAGTTCTTTGCCTGATTGGCATTTTCTGTTTCGATTTAATTCAAATACCTAGATAGATAAACGTCTATATATCGATGGAGCTCAAGAATAATACCAAAGGTGTTTACATAATGAAAGGAAATTGAATAGGAGAACCAACAGTAGCATCAATTTAGGAGAACGTCCTATCACTCAGGCAAGTCAGTAAGATTGCATTGAAAAAGCCTGTCCAGCACATTTAGCATTTTTGCCCTGAAAGTGCCTGCTAAGAATACTAACAAGGCTGATCTTTAACTAATAGGGCGCTGTGGAAGCTGCGAAACTCCTACCGATCGATTTTCATAAGAGCCAGCACATCAAGTATCACTCTACTCGAAGAACTCAATTGTTTATGACCATACAACGAATAGGTCATAGCCTCTTGCTTAAGCAATCATTCGGCTAGAAACACCAGACCAGGGGTGGAAATCATCTTCAAGTGTCGACTGATTTCTACAAGGCTTACGTTTTTGTTTGGCGATGATACTCATGACCCATGTAGTGCACGGTAATTTACCTGCAGGAACAACAGACACTTACAAAAAAGTATTAGATCACAGGGCTCATCGCTCTAGTTCTGCTAGTGGCCATGCCGTATCTTAAAAAAAACAGACATCCTAGAGGGGCTAAGACTTTCTTGGCAATTATCCACCTCTAGTCCTTTTCGAGTCAGAAAAATGTAGCGTGGCTCGTGATCCCCCAGCATTAAATTATCTATTCATACTTAATAATCATGTTTTATACCATTCTATCTCTATTTCTATTTCAGAAACAAAAATTAATTAGAGCATTGCCGATTCACAGAATTCTTATAGAAACGGACTCACCAGCCTTAGCCGCCGTGAGGCAAGAGCGGAACGATCCATCAGAAACTCTCAAGGTATGTCAATACATTGCCAAGGAGAAAGGCCTAGACGCCGAGACGGTGATAAGAATAACGCACGACAACACTAAAAATCTCTACAAAAACCTTAATTGTTGTGCCTAATTAAATTATTCGTAATAAACGTACCCGGTTTCACTCCCATGAGGTCAGCTAATTTTAAAATCGCATAACTTCGGTTCGGACGGAAGAACCATCTTGGGTTAGAAAATTAAATTCGAATACGACCCAGCCTCCAGAACCTACCATAAATAGACCTTTACTAACAATTAATAAGGACAAATCTTTAATATATTCCCGAGCGTGCTTTGCTGATTGATACGTGGATGATTATCTTATTCGTATATTAGATCAATCAGACGGCAATATGTAAGAACTTGAGGTTATGTATGTATAGCAGACAAGGTAAGGAAGTAATGATGAAGATATTCGACTACTTTTTCATAGAATAAATCGGGTAATATGGCTTTGGCTTCAAAATGCCTGGATATGGAAGGTTTCAAATTAAGTGCGCATCTCAGTCTAACTTACTAGGGCGAAAAGCAGCAGAGTTTCCGCTAGTACTCATAGTGGGTAGAAATACTCTGGTTATAAATTAAAGGAAAAAATTGGTCTTCATTTGATAAGGTTACTTTCAATCGAAC